TTGTCAACCGTATTCAGGTTAACCAGTTAAGAAGATTCATCGGATCGTCTCCAAATGCAGTGTATATGTAGCCCAAATCTAGGCATTTCGATATGGTATGAAGCTATTTGGTTAGTTCAATTCATATGCCAATCTGGCGGCATTTGCGTGTGTTTATGCATCTCCATGTGTACGTATATGTGAGGAGCAGAGATATGCACATGCTGCTAGCTTGACATGACTTGAAGTAACAAATCACTTTATACCTCATCAGAATCCATCCAGTTAGGTTATATTTGGAGCATTCAGAAATAGGCCGGTGAGTTTACTCGAATATTATTGTAAGGACGGCACCCCGTTCTGATCATGTCCGTCATATGATGGATGTGTGAAGGAAATGGAAGCGAATAAGTGCTTACCTTTTATGGATGTTGTCATCATTAGAGAAGAGGGTATGTTAGGAAGAGATGCTTGTAGGAAGCCGACATATGTTGACGCTTTGCTTAATTTTCTTTCCAATCATAATTACAAGACTAAGGTTGGAATTTGGTAGTCAATGATTATTAGACGGATAGCAAACATTTGACTAAAGGGTTGGAACGACTTGCAAATATATTCTTGGAAATAATTATCATTTGGGCTTAATTGAGCATAATATCTCTCTACTGAGGAATACATTTTCAGACAGAAACCATTTAGTCAAATAGAGACAGACTGAGACCTTCTTTTCCCATGTCCTAATTTTGCCGTCATGTTTTCGCTCAAAAAAGATAGGCGAATTCGTGAAGAAATAGGGCATAAAAACAGTGTTCAAAGAAACCCTCACACTTTTTTCTGTTATGCCATCTTTTAGAGAGAAATAAGACCCAGCTGCTACAAGATTGTTTGCTCATGTGGTCGATGTTGTGTTGGTGAGACATGCCGACCTCTTCGACAAAGTTTGGGAGAACACAAAAATGCTTGTAAAGGAAGCTGGGTCCAACCGTCAGAAGTGGCCAAACACATGCTAGAAACTGGACATGAAATAAAATGGTATCAAACAAGTAGTTGTTGTGCTTACTTCCATTTCAAGTGAAAGTGGAAGTAAGCACAACAATTATGAAACAAGATAGTCCTTGAGACCCAACTTTTCTTCAAACTAGTAGGTTTGCTGATTATGGTACGTCTGTGGTTAGAAGTAAAATAAGAG